TAAATCATTTTCTATAGTTTAGGTTGCAGTTCTCAAAATCATTTTCTACAGTTTAGGTTGCAGTTCCTTCAATCATTTTCTATAGTTTAGGTTGCAGTTCTCTAACTCATTTTCTGAAGTTTAGGTTGCAGTTCTCTAAATCAGTTTCTATAGTTTAGGTTGCAGTTCTCTAAATCATTTCCCATAGTTTAGGTTGCAGTTTCTCTAAATCATTTTCTATAGTTTAGGTTGCAGTTCTCTAAATCATTTTCTATAGTTTAGGTTGCAGTTCTCTAAATCATTTTCTATAGTTTAGATTGCAGTTCTCTAAATCATTGTTTAATGCTTACGTTGCAGTTCTCTAAATCAGTTTCTACAGTTTAGGTTGCAGTTCTCCAGATCAATTTCTATAGTTTAGGTTGCAGTTCTCTAAATCATTCTCTATAGTTTAGGTTGCAGTTCTCTAAATCATTTTCTATACTTTAGGTTGCAGTTCCCTGAAACGGTTTCTATAGTTTAGGTTGCAGTTCTCTAAATCATTTTCCATAGTTTAGGTTGCAGTTCTCTAAATTATTCTCTATAGTTTAGGTTGCAGTTCTCTAAGTCATTTTCTATAGTTTAGGTTGCAGTTCTCCAAATCATTCTCAATAGTTTAGGTTGCAGTTCTCGAAATCATTTTCTACAGTTTAGGTTGCAGTTGTCTAAATCATTTTCTATAGTTTAGGCTGCAGTTCTCTAACTCATTTTCTATAGTTTAGGTTAGAGTTGTCGAAAGCATTTTCTACAGTTTGGGCTGCAGTTCTCTAAACCATTTTCTATAGTTTAGGTTGCAGTTCTCTAAATCATCTTCCACAGTTTAGGCTGCAGTTCTCTAAATCATTCTCTATAGTTTAGGCTGCAGTTCTCTAAATCATTTTCAATCGTTTAGGTTGCAGTTCTCTACATCATTTTCTATAGTTTAGGTTGCAGTTTCTCTAAATCATTTTCGATAGTTTAGGTTGCAGCTCTCTAAATCATTTTCTATAGTTTAGGTTGCAGTTTCTCTAAATCATTTTCCATAGTTTCGGTTACAGTTCTCTAAATCATTTTCTGAAGTTTAGGTTGCAGTTCTCTAAATCAGTTTCTATAGTTTAGGCTGCAGTTCTCTAAATCATTTCCCATAGTTTAGGTTGCAGTTTCTCTAAATCATTTTCTATAGTTTAGGTTGCAGTTCTCTAAATCATTTTCTATAGTTAAGGTTGCAGTTCTCTGAATCGTTTTCTATAGTTTAGGTTGCAGTTCTCTAAATCGTTTTCTATAGTTTAGGTTGCAGTTCTCTAAATAACTTTCTATAGTTTAGGTTGCAGTTCTCTAAATCATTTTCAATAGTTTAGGTTGCAGTTCCCTAAATCATTTTCTATAGTTTAGGTTGCAGTTCTTTCAATCATTTTCTAAAGTTTAGGTTGCAGTTCTCTAAATCAGTTTCTATAGTTTAGGTTGCAGCTCTCTAAATCATTTTCTACAGTTTAGGTTGCAGTTCTCGAAATCATTTTCTATAGTTTAGGTTGCAGTTCTCTAACTCATGTTCTATAGTTAAGGTTGCAGTTCTGTAAATCATTTTCTATAGTTTAGGTTTCAGTTCTCTAAATCATTCTCTATAGTTTAGGTTGCAGTTCTCTAAATCATTCTCTATAGTTTAGGTTGCAGTTCTCTAAATCACTCTCTATAGTTTAGGTCGCAGTTCTCTAACTCATTTTCTATAGTTTAGGTTGCAGTTCTCTAAATCATTTTCTATAGTTTCAGGTTGCAGTTTCTCTAACTCATTTTGTATAGTTTAGGTTGCAATTCTGTAAATCATTTTCTATAGTTTAGGTTGCAGTTTCTCTAAATCATTTTCTATAGTTTAGGTTGCAGTTTCTCTAAATCATTTTCTATAGTTTAGGTTGCGGTTCTCTAAATCATTTTCTATAGTTTAGGTTGCAGTTCTCTAACTCATTTTCTATAGTTTAGGTTGCAGTTCTGTAAATCATTTTCTATAGTTTAGGTTGCAGTTCTCTAAATCATTTTCTATAGTTTAGGTTGCAGTTCTCTGAGCCGTTTTCTATAGTTTAGGTTGCAGTTCTCTAAATCATTTTCTATAGTTTAGGTTGCAGTTCCCCAAATCATTTTCTATAGTTTAGGTTGCAGTTTCTCTAAATCATTTCCTATAGTTTAGGTTGCAGTTCTCTAACTCATTTTGTCTAGTTTAGGTTGCAATTCTGTAAATCATTTTCTATAGTTTAGGTTGCAGTTTCTCTAACTCATTTTCTATAGTTTAGGTTGCAGTTTCTCTAAATCATTTTCTATAGTTTAGGTTGCGGTTCTCTAAATCATTTTCTATAGTTTAGGTTGCAGTTCTTTAAATTATTTTCCATAGTCTGAACTGGCAATTGTTCATGTTTTTAAAGTTTTTTTTTGCATTTCGCATTTTTCCAGTTTTTCGCGGGCATTTGTTGCTCGATTTATGTCGCTGAGGTTGACTTTAGAGAAGTTAATTGTTTGGGTTTCAAGTTGTTTTTCGGTGGGAAGGGGGGGGGCAGGACGGGACAATAATAATGCGCCTGTGTGCCCATTGTTGCGAAAGGCTTGATTCCTGCAGCATCGTTTTTCGCTGGCTGCTCGCCTTCGGAGAGTCGGAACGGAATTGTCTTTTTTCATCTCGTTTGTTGTTTGAGGGCTCGGTGGCTTGCCCCGCCCCACCCCCCCTCCTCCCAAGCCCATCAATGATTGACGTTGTTGCGTTTGCTTGCGCGGGTTCGGTGGCTTGCCCCGCCCGGCCCCCTTAAACAAATCCTTTCGCTGGTTTTGGCGGCATGCCCCATCCAGCAATAGGGTGCCCAGCTCCCCCTTCCTCCAAAGTGAAGCCCGCCAACGATTGAAGTTGTTGCATGTGCTTGTGCTTGCGGGTTCGGTGGCTTGCCCCGCCCGGCCCCTACGCCTTCTGCAAGCAAGAGGGAAGGCGTCTCAGGGCAAAAGAGTCTCACAGGAAAGCTGTGAGCTGACGAACGGACATGCGTGATGCGACGCAAGAGCCGCCCAAGTCGTATGTTTCTTGCGGATCATTTTTTCAAGCGGATAGATGTGTTTTTGCAGAGCAGATATGCTTGTTGCGGTGCGCGCTTGCGGGTTCGGTGGCTTGCCCCGCCCGGATCATTTTTTTCAAGCGGATAGATGTGTTTTTGCAGAGCAGATATGCGTTGCGGTGTGCGCTTGCGGGTTCGGTGGCTTGCCCCGCCCGGCGCCCACAATGACTTACGCTGGTTTCGGTGGCATGCCCCATCCAGCAGTAAGGATTCAGAAGGGGCGCTTCTGAAACCGCCCTTTTCCGGAAGCGTTCTCAGAAAGGCTTTCGTGTGTAAGGGCGGCTCGAAAAACAAGACTTTCGTGGGAAGTCTGCCTGCAAGTCTTGTTTTGTTTTTTGAAGTTTCGGCTCTGACATGTTGAACTGCCCGTAGAAGGGAAATAGCGTGAGAAAGTCTACCAATGGCACGGGGGCCTGCTCGCAAAAAAGGCAGCGCAGTGAAGCAGCTTTGCTCCTACAAGAAGTGCAGAGCCAAGAAGGACGTGAAGAACAAGTGCCACACAGCTCGCCGTGAGGAAGTGGATCTTGAGCAATGTCGGCCCTTAAGAAGCCACTGTCAGACTGTAAAGTTCTGTGGTCAAACGCATTTAGACGCCTGCCTATCAAAAAAGAAAAAAGCTCCACCCGTTGGAAGGGAAGCTCTGGACACGCAGCAACTGGCCAGTCTTTTTCAAACCTTGGTGGAGCTAGGCCGTGCCTGGGCAGCCGTCATGGGGTTATGCCAGCTTTTTTTGGGAGAGCGCGCTGACTGCGTGCGGCAGCTGAGAACATCTTGGCTGCGCAACTTGGGCCCTCAAGAGCACGCACTCCGGCCGTTTGCATCCCTGAAGGGGTGAACAAAAAAACAACCTCCCGTGAAGTTCCTCTTCACAGTGGCCTGGCTACCTTGCTTCATAACTGGATGTTTCGTGAACCACTCCGGGGCGCGCAGCAGTCATGGCCACATCCAGGGCAAGAAGTTCAGGAAGGGGACAGATTGTTGTTCCCAGGGCTTGTTTTGAAAACTCAGGCTAAGGCCTGGGGAGTGGCTGTTTCTGAGCGCGCATACCTTCATGCACTGACAACAGCAGCTGGAGTTATACAAAGCCAACGCCAATTTGTGCGGGAAGCTGGCGGCCGCCATATATTTGAAGATGTGGATTTGTCCCGTATTGGCACGCACACATTCAAAAAGAGCCACGTGACATTGATGAAGTGCGAAGGAGCGAGCTCATCACTAATTTCTTCAATCACGGGAACCACCGCAGCAACACTAGAAAAACACTATGACGTTCCCACCCGTAAACGGCAACATCACGCTATCAATGCTTCCCTGGGCCCTGTGCTCGACATGGTTGCTTTTCCGGCAGATGCTCAGCCGTCTTCCCCGAAGAACGCAATTAACATTTGGTGCCCTTGGTGCGGAAGCCCTTGCGAAACCCAGTGGAACTTTTGCCAAGCATGTGGGCAAAAACTGCCTACGTTGCCCTGATCGAAAAGAGGTGTTTGGTGGCTTGCCCCGCACCCGTTGGCCGTATGGGCTTAGGTGGCCATGCCCCAGCCCGTTTCACGCAACCTTTTTCTACTTCAGCCAGAGCTGCCTCTTCGCCGGTGAAAAAGCGTGCGCCCTCTGGCATGCTGCTGCTTTCATGTGACTGAACACGCTGTGTGGTTACAAGTGCTGCTGGTGCGAGTTGAAATGACAAGTTGCAGCATGCTATTCCGTGAAACAGACGCTGCGAGGGATGCCGGGGCAAGCCACCAATGCGATCCCTTTTGAGGCGGTGCTGGGGCAAGCCACCAAAGCGCCGCTCGCAGGCTGTCGGATCAGCACGTCTCGGTGGCCTCCAGGCAAAGTGATTAGGGCCGCCCTATTAACTTCCCACTGTTAAGTTAGTTTCCCCATTGGCCTCGTAAAACAATGGGAATGACACACATGCTCCTTTGCACAGCAGCCCGCGCCTGCAGCGCGCGGAGCAACACGCTAGCCGTCTCATCGCCCAAGCGCAGCTTGGCATCATAGTTGGCGCGGCATTCCTGGCAGTTGTCGCACGTGCCGTACTGCCACAGCTGCGCCATGAGATGCAAGTCCAGGACGTGGGTGAAGCCAAGCTTCCGCAGGGCCAGCGCCAGGAGAAACACGCAGCTCACAGACCGGTGGCGTCCTTTGTTGCAGAACACACCAATGGCCACGCTGGCGCTGGCCGGGAGGCGCCGGGTCAGAATCTTAGCCATGGACTGAATCCAGTCGCCCCACTTGGGGCGCCGCGCCACCGCCGCCAGGTTCTTGACGTTCAAGCCGATGTGATTGCAGGACTGGCGGCTCTGCGGGCGGTTCGGGTCGTAGAAGCACCTCACGTCCGTGCAGACCAAAGATGGGCTTGGCTGCCCGGACGTTTTCAGCCCGGCAGTCTCCATCATGATGTCCGCCAGTCGAAGTGGGTCATCTCGGGCTTCCTGGCGCCTCTGCCTCAAGAGCGATTGGCCAAGCACACCGGTCTACGACTGCTTGGCCATAGCTGAAAACGTAAATCGGCTTGTTGAGGTGGGCCAGCCCGCTTGCTAGCGGCGGAGGCGGCGCGCGGGGCAAGCCACCAAGCGCATCCGCCTTGGGCCTGGGGAGGCTAGCCGGGTACCCCAAATTCTGAGGGGGGGCTCTTGACCCGCGCCCACTCTTGGCCTGTACCACCGCAAAGAAGGCCGCCAGGTCCTTGCCTAAGAGGTCTCCGGCCCTTGAGCCGTGGACCATGGCCTGCACGGGCCAACCCACGGGCGGGTCACCTCGCGTGGTTTTATACGCGTTGCGGAAGTATCCTTCCTTTGCGCACATTGTCTGCATGTTGCGGGCGTTCATCGCCCCCCATTTGTATTTGGCCTCGTTCGAGACGTGGTCCAACTTGGCGTCTCCCCTCTCGCGCGCCTTGTTGTGGAGGTCATTGTCTATGGCAAAGCCCACGGCATCGTGAGCGGCCGCGGCGCCTTTCCCGCATTGCAGCGAGGCCCTGTAGCCTCCCCCACCCTTGCGGGTGGCGGAGGCTGACGCCCACGCACCCACCCGCTTGAGGAAGTCTATGTCCTGGGGCCCGGCAATGTTTTCTGCAACTGGCTCAGGTCTTTCCCCCCCCGCCTGGTAGCCAGAGCCCAAGACGCCCGGCTCCTCGTCATAGCCGTTCACAGCCTCAAAGGCCGAAAGGCGCACCGCAATGCGACCAGTGGTCGCAGACTCCCATCCTCGCGCTTGGAGAATCTGCAGCCTGGGGTTCGCGAAGGTTTCCAGGAGCGCCGGCAGGAACTTGGGGCCGATGATGTTGTCGCAGTCCAGGTTAACGAGGATGACGCTGGATGCGTCACAATCGTTAACCGCCCTTGACACAGCTTCTTTTCTTGCCAGCATGTGTGAGGCGTTCTTGGCGAAGGACATGTGGAAGGCGCCGCCGGTGGCTCTGGTGTCAACAAAGCCCAGCGTCAGGCGGACTTGCTGCAAGCCTTAGCGGGGTGTGTTTCGCACCATGTGCTGGGGCAAGCCACCAAAGCACATGGCGGGGCAAACAAACAAAGCCTTGGTGGCGTGAGCCTCGCCACGTGCTGGGGCAAGCCACCAAAGCACACGGCGGGCCAAACAAAACACATTGACCTTGTTAAACAAAGGGGCGGGGCCAGTCCTTCAACTCCTGCAGGGCCTGAAGCGTCACTTCCTCCCCTGTGCCCGGCGCCGTGATAATCACCCAGTGCACTTCGGTGCCATACGCAGCCGTGTGCTCGCTGATCATGGCGATGTTCGGCACCAGGGCGATCTTCAACTGCTCATGCCGCCATAGGCAGCTTGTGCAGAGGTACACAGAGACGGCAGGACGCGCGGGGGGCAAGCCACCAGCCGCAGCACCTCCGCCAAGACTGTCCCCCAAGCCGATGGAATCAGCCACCGTCTTTCGCACCTGGCTCGCCGTCGCTCAACAATGCAAAATAACATTAAATGAGGGCAACAAAAATAAAACCCAGGGCACAAACACTGGAAACTGAATGAGGCAAGGCGCATTAATGGGCAGCGCGTCTTCGCCCAGCACACGCTCCTGCAGTCGCTTTGCTATCGCCGACAGCTGCGGCCCAGCTGGCGGCCGCTCGTTTGTGGCTGCAGCCGGCGGCTCCGGCGCAAATGTCAGGGGGCCCTCTGAGACGCAGCCAAGTGTTTCCTCGCCTATGACATAGTCCAGGATGGACTCCGTGGCACCTTCGCCTGAGCTTGCGGCATCCGCAGCATCAGCAGACTCAGGCTCAGGCTCAGGAGCAGCATCGGCGGCGTCGGCCATAGTGACACTCAACTCTTCGGGAAGCTCGAGGTTGGCAAAGCTGATGCGCAGCTGACTGTGCAAGTCGATGATCATCTCCTTGTACAGCGTCAGACCTGCGAGCAGCGCGGGGGGAGGGTTGATTCTGATTGTGGGCGCTTAAGACAACTAACTACTGATCACCATGGCAGAATGTTGGATGTCTGACAAGCGGCAGTCGTCACCGCAGATGCGGAGGTAGTTGTGGCGCATGCGTCTCAACCTATCTTGCCGGCCGCGGATGGCCGTGCTTAGGCTCAGCTCCTCCGCCCTGGCTGCGTACTTCTGCCACAGCTCCGGGGTGTAGCCTGACCGGCTGACTGGCCAGCGCGTGTAGATGTGCGGCCTCATGTCCGGTCCGGTCCCGGGCTTCAATGATCCAAGCTGCCCAATGTCCAGGCGGGGGGCCTTTGCCTTCGCCTTTGCCTTCGCCGCTGGCCGGCGCATGGCTGCAGCTAGGCTGGGGCAAGCCACCAAGGCCTTGCTGAAACTGGAGAGGGGCAAGCTTTCAGATCCCAGCTGCGGCGGGATAGTATGGACTTCACAACCCCGGCAAACAGACACGCAAGCCACACGTGACTGCATCCTGAAACTTCCAAGCTGAGACTCTCAAGGCATAAGCGTCCGCGCTTTCTGGTTTGTCGGCTTTTCGCTCGTAGGTTTAGTCCCCTGACCCTGTCGCAAAAGAAATATGCACAATGCTGGGGCACGCCGCCGAAGCAAAATCGCATAACCCTTCCCCTTCAATGTACACCTGACATGCGCGCCGTGTGTCCGGGGCAGGCCGCCAGGACGCCTAACAACAGCGCGCCGGGGCAAGCCACCTGAGCGCTTTTCAGGTGTAAGGATCCCATGAATTTGCAATGGACTGCTCACAACAGACCTGTGAAACAATGCCACTCACTTGCCGCACATGCCAGAGCTGCACTGCCGCAGCTCCAGCTTTGCCATGGTGCTGGGGGCCGTGTCGGCGGTCAAAAGCTTTAGGCAGCGGCCAACTTTTGCAGGCCCGAGTTGACTTGTCACCTCGCTGGCCTCCTCATTGGTCACGAAGCACACTAGCTCATGAGCGCCACGCTTCTTGTCCAAGTTCTTCTGCGCTTGCTCGCCGACCTCGCCCATGGAGCTTAGCATCTTCCATCCACCTTTGTGGCGCTCTCGCCGGGTGAGCAGAATGCGGTGCAACTCAGGGCTCTCGCACTGAAACCCGGGACTGACCCAAACATGCTTCCGCAGTCGCAGCGCGACTTCATACTGACAGGTTGCCCCAGGCGTGTCAGGGTAGCAAAACTGGCCGGCCGACACCAGCATGCAGCCGCCCAGCATGGCGTGCCAAAGAACTTCTTGAGAAGGGTGGGCCACGTCCGCAACCACAAACACATCCGCCTTGGCAGGGTTTGGCTCATAGGACGCCCCCAGAAACTGCATGTGTTCGTCGACCGCAGTTCCGCGAGCCAAGGGCTCACCTCCTAGATGCACTGCCTTGTAGCGCAGCTGGGCGGCAAGCGTCTCGCTCGAGCCGCGGACTTGTTTTTTCTTTTTCTTCACGTAAGCTGTGATCTTGGCAGCCTGAGATTTCATACGCTGCTGCAACGCAGCTGGCGCATTTTCTCCAATGTACTGGCGAACTTCCTCATCCTGAAGTGTGCCCTGCTGGTATGCCCCCAAGGCTTTCGATCGAAAGCGGCTTTCCTGCAAGGCTCTTTCCTTGACGTGCTTTTCTGACCAAAAAGCGTTCTCTGTGATATCCTCTTCTGTCACTGTCACCTCAGCCTGCGCCGACAGGCTCTGCACCTCTGCTTTCCGCATTTTGCGAAAAGCTTGTAGTGTTCCGGTCGGCTCGCTTCGAAGGCGCTTCTGTTGCCCGACCTTCCTGAACACCGACATTTGCGCGCTCCCCTGCCGAGGCGCTCCAAAAATTGATGCATAGAGGACAATTGCCGCGCGGCCGAGGGCATGGTCGTCCGCCTCAGAATGATCTTGAGTGCTCAGCAAGAAAAGCACATCTCGCCAATGGGCATCGGTCAAGCTTGTCTTGTTTCCGAGCATGAGGCGAACGTTGGCAAAGCACCGCTCCACTCCTGAAGTTGACGCGCCCCACGCGTAGGCCCGCACAAGCACTGAGCGCACCACTGCCTGGGGGTGCGCAGCTAGTTGGCGTTCGGTCTGGGAGGCGGACAAAGCCTCCCTCCATGCCGGCAGACTTGCTAAGCCGCTTGCGTCGTGGAAATGCTGGGCAATGGGGAGGTGGTCAACAAACTGCGACTCCAGAGCCTCCGCGTCCACGCCCAGCAGCACAGCGAGCTTGTGCGCCTTTGTGGCTATGTCGGCGCGCTCCTCCCCCGCAGTCATGAAGCGCTGTTGTTCAGCCAAAGGCCGTAGATGGAAGATGCTGAAAGTCTGCAAGGCCTCGAAGCACGGGAACTCCGCCGACACAACGTCTTTGGCCAAAGCGGTCCATGCCTTGAAGCGCTGCAAGCAGGACGCAACTGTCTGAGCCATCTGATGCTGCGGCGCACCGCCGAGCCGCCGGGGCTGGCGATCCACATACAGCACCCGCTGCGTTGACAGCAGCTGCAGCACGTGCTGCGTGAAGCCGGTCCTCAGGCAGCCCCCTTGATCAAAAAGCATGGTGATCCGCGTCGTGAACCGGCCCAACTCCGCACACAGTTGGCTGTTGTCTAGCGTCTCGCTGTCCAGAAAACGCACCAGCTGAAGATTTTCTTCTCCAGCGTCAGCTAGCATGCCCAAAAGCACCAAGTTCTCCTCCGTGGCAAGCATCAGAAACTCCTTTGCTGCAGCGCCTACCCTTTCTTGTTTTCTTTCATCATGTAGGGACTGCGCTGTTGATAGAACAGCTTCCATTGTCAGGCACAACTTGGCAAAGGGGGTCGCCCAGGTGTCGAAGCGGTGTTTGGCGGCGCTGAACTTGGACGAGTTCTGCTTCCACATCGGGTTGTACTGCATGGCGCGCACCTCCTGCGCATACTTCACCCGCACAACGTCGCTGTGGTGGATCAGCTGGACGATGCTGCCTTTGTTCATCACTACCTTTTTGACCAACGTGTCCAGCACAGGGTCACACTTCCAAGTGCGACTCACTATCCTGGCAGAAGGGCCAGTACACTCGAAGAACATGCGGTGAAAATCGCATGGCCACAAACAAAAAAAGGGTCCTGCGGGCTGCGTGGGGCTTGTCTTTGTTTACAAACTTCAGGTTCGGAAAGACTTGCAGCGTGCCCGTGTCCATGTCTGCCAAATCGCAGTATAGCTGAGCAAAAGCTTCGTGCTCCGACGACAAGAGCTGTCCCGCCAGCTGCTCGTCGGCTGCTGCGTCGGCGTTGAACACCTCAACGCGCCCAAGCCACTGCCGAAACGCAACTGCGTCCAGCTGGGGACAAGCCACCTGAGCTGGCACAGTTGGCTTCAGGCAGTCCTTGAATTCTTCTGCACCAGCAAAAGGGGTGGCCAAATCATGAAGCAAATGCACAACAGCCGTGGCAACTCCGACCGCAGAGAAGTCATGAAGCTTCCGTGCGCCCAGAAGCATGTGCTGAGGACGCAAATCCTCTGCGCACGTTTGCCCTCGCAAGACAAGGATCGTCTTTGAGCAGTCCGAGTGCACAGTGACGCAGGAGGCAGCGTTGAGCGTTTGTCGCGTGCGAGCCCGCAGCGACTCGGCCAAGCAAAACTTGAGCTTCTGGGCTCGGCGGCGAAGGATCTTGCCGCCGGACCAGGCAATCCCATCATCACCGCCATCTTTTCCCTTGCGTGTAGCTCGCAGAACTGCGATGAACTCTTCGAGAGATGGGGCCATCAGGCGCAGTCGGATGTCTTCATTTGATGCTGCGGCCTGGTGCCTTTTGGTTTTCTCATGGTCTCGGAAGTGGCTGACCTGCAATGAAGCAATGGTTCGAAACTCCGCTGACACATGCCCAGCAGCTTTGCAGGCAGCACAGCTGACGGAGAAGTCGCCTGTGTCCCACTGCACAGCCTCCAGCCACGGGAACTGCTCGGTCCACCGCCTGCCAAAGCGGGCCCATGCGCTCTGCGCGGACATTCCGGGCAGCTTGGGCCAGAGCTCTGTCCAGAGGGCGCTTGCGGAAAAAAACTTAAGTTTACGCACGAAGTTCCTGTCCAGAGGGCCTCTGGAATCCGAAGGTCGACTCAACAAGCCGCAGCGCTGTGGACTGTCCAAAGAACTAGAAACGTTCGAACACCGGGAATTTTGCGTTCCCCGAAATCCAAGAATTGTAGTCCACTCGACGGTCCGCAGCGCTGTGGTTTGTGGAGACAACTTATGGAAACCGGAGACCCTCTGGACAAATGGGGTCTGTGGAAAAAAACTTAAGTTTTTTTCCGCGGACCAAGCTGATCGGGCGAGCGTACGTGTCATGTGGGAAACTGGATGGACGTGACCGGACTGTCTCTCGGCAACCCTTGATCCTCAACACTTCATGACGCCGGACGTCCTGATTCAATGTCCTTGGCTGGCCGCATGTTTTAAGCACCGTTCGATCTGCGTTTGACATCTCTCTGCAGCAGCAGCGGGGGCACGCCGCCGACGCAAACTACTCAATGTGCTGGGGCAAGCCACCAACGCGGGCCGGGGCACGCCACCTGAGCCACATCATGGTTGCCAAACTCACAAACTTACGCGGCAGAGCGCGCAAAAACCCAGCTCAGTTGGGCTCCCTGTCCGTGGGGTCGTCCTCCTCTTCCTCGGCTGGGTCTTCAGTGGCCGGCGGCGCGGCAGCCTTAGCCTTGACTCGTCTGCGCTGCTTGGGGGCTGGTCCGGCGCCTGGAGCAGGCGGCGCAGCTTTCAGCATGTTCTCCACCAGGTCGACCAGCGCCGAGCCACTGTTCGGCGGCCCTGCCCCCCCGTTCTTGGCAGGAGGAGGCACTGGGCCAAGCTGCCCAGCCTTGCTTTTGGCTTTGCTCACCGGCGGCGCTTTTCCTCCGGCCTTGCCCCTCGTCAAGCTGCTGTCACCGCCGCTGTCCGCCTGCGTCGTGGTTGGCAGGCACGGCGAGACCACTTGGTTTCAGACTGGTTTGAAATATTGTAGCAGCAGAATAAACACTGCGTCTGAGCATAAAACAAAGCACTGGCCTGCAGAGCGTCGCGCAGCTCTGCAGCGTAATACTGACTGCTTGGGCTCTGCATGTGTGCCCACAAGCGGCCGAAGAGGTACTGCCGCACGACATTCATGTGAAGACTAGTCTGGCAGAATCCTAAGAAAGGCTTTTTCTCCATAAGGGCGGCCTCGGCAGCGTACCCGGGGCCCACCGTGAAGTCAATGACACATTGCACATTGTGCGAATGAATCAACTCTGCCCACAAGTGCCATGGCTGCGAATGGAAAGACAGGGGCTCCAGGGTGTCCGGCTTCCTCACCAAGGACTCAGACCCCGCAGGCGCGGCCCCGCCAACCTTGCAGCTTCCTTTGCACTTGTCAGACCACACATCCTTCTTGACCTTCCATGGGATCATGTGAGATTGCTCTTTTGTCAGTGGCGGGCTTACCACCGGCCCCAACGAATTGCTTCGGTTGGTGCCAGGAAAATGCTTCCGGTTGCGGACGGGCATGTCAAGGGAATCCTTGGTGACGCAATAGAATTGCTCCATCAAGTTGAAATTGAAACCCCGCACTTTCTCGTACCGCTGGAAGTAGCTGCTCTCTTCCATCTGAACGTGCAGAACCCGCACCTGCTTGTTGAGCGCGCCCCCGGTGGCGTCCATGAAGCCACCCAGCAATGTTTTTGGCGTCAGACCTGCGGCAGACAAATGTTGAAACCCGATCACGCTGCATGCCTGCAGTTTAATCCATGAATGTGAAATGCTGTTGGGCTCTCTGTTTGAATGTGGCAGTAAACGTCAAAAATGAACTGTGGGCGGCAGGGCTGTTTTCACGCACGGTTTCCGAGTCAAGTGGATGCATTGCTGGCCGCGCAGGCGGGAATAGGTATGAATTAACAATCATGTGCACAGCCAACATTCCGCCGGCCTGGGCACTAAATTGCAACCATCGATTGCGCTATTTCCAATGTGCATTGCTCAGGTGGCTTTCATGTCTTCATCCCATCACGGTGCTGGCCCAAGGGTCTGCCGCAGTGGCCGGCACAGCCCCGACGGCCCGCAGAAGGCGCAAAGCAACTCGTCCGCACACGGGCGTAGAAAAGGCATTGCCGATCATGTGCGCAAACTTCTGGAGCGAGACCTTGGCTGGTATCTCGTACTGCTTCTGCGGCAGCCCCTGCAAGGTCTCCATCTCCTCCAAGACCATGAAGCGGTTGTGAGGCAATAGCATGTGCCCACCGGTCGAGCAGCGCGAGGCAGTCAGCGTGGGCGACTTGTTGGCGCTGCAGCTCCCACCGCGCGAGCGACTGCCGCCGACATCTGCCACCCAAATGGCCTCCTGCAAGTTGCAACTGACTGAATGCTTAGCTGGCGCTCGGCTGGAGCTATGGAACTAACTATGACACATGTAAAACCAAGCGCGCCTTTTGCCCTTACAAACTTGTCTCCTGTAGGGCTGCGCAGCTCTGCGTGCTCTTAAAGATCTTCCGCGCGGCTTTGGCCATGTTGGCCTTTAGTCTGCCTTGCCCGGCTTCCGTTGGAGCGCGGGCCACAGCTGTGCTGCTCTGCGGGTCCTCAACCAAAACTTCATGGAGGGACATGCATGGCAGCGGCCGTGGCCACTGGAACGGCCGCTGCTGGGCGCTGCGTCGCCACCCCACAATGTACGTCCGACGCCGCGCCTGGGGCAAGCCGCCGGTGACGCTGGTGTCCAGGACTCGGTAGGACACGCTGTAGTACTGCGATCCATTTTCCTCTGTCAGGCTGTTCAAGTAGAATAGGATGAGCTCCAACAGCGGCTTGAACTTGGCGTGGGTGGCCAAAGTCGAGGAATTTTCTAGCATGAAGCTCTGGGGTCTGACGCTTGCGATGGTCTGCAAGACTCGGAGCAGCACTCGGCCGCGGGGGTCCTTCAGTCCTTCGCCTTTGCCTTGGGGACTGTAGGGCTGACAGGGAGGCCCTGCCGTGTACAGGTCCAACTCCCGCGCAGCTGATGGGAGCTGACCGTCGTCTCGCTTCATAATGTCCTTGAAGATCAGCGGCGGTGGCCGACCCTCCTGGAACAAGGCGCCGGTCTGTTGAGCGTAATTTGCCAGCAGCGTCACGCGCGTTTGGCGGTCTTTTTCTGAGGCGAACACGGTATATGGCTGAAGCCCAGCCAACCGCAACGCCGTGCCTGCAGTGTCCAAGCCTGTGCAATCAGAAGCCACACGCACGTCTCGGCACTTCACTGGGAGCAACAAGGGCGAGGCAGGTCCTCTGCCCAGTCGAGTCGGGCTTTGGCAAAGTGTTTTCTCACTTTCCTGAGAGTCATCCCCCGTCTAGCGCCTGGAAGTGCCTGAGCTACGCTGCCGCGCACGGCCGGCAGCGGTGCAGCTGCATCCTTGCTTGCCCTGGGCCTCTTCCTTTTGGCTCCTGCACCTGCGCGCTGCGATGACGATCCCTTGGCCCGCTGACGTGGCTGCTGCACAATGCACAGCTCGCCAAGCTCAGTGTCACTCAAAAGCATGTCGTCCATGCTGAAGAAACACTAGGCCAACCTTTGCTTGGCAGTCCCTGAAAACACAAATGGCTGACGTTCGTGAAAGAATCGCGAGACACAGTCTGAACCTGCAACTTGAGCCATGGATGCTTGCAGAAGTGACAGAGCAGTATTTTTTCATTATTCAAATGAATGCGCCCGACAAGCTGCGCACGACGAGCGCGACGTACGTTTGGAGCTTGCCCGCCTGCTTTCATGCCGTCCGGGATGACCCACAAGTCTGCGTCGGCCAGGTCATCTTTCATGTGGCCGACATTGGCTGCCAGGCTGCCTCTGATGAAGTCCTTCAAGTGCTCCCCGTTCTGCCGCAGAGGTGGAAGCCGAGTGCTCGGGTGACTGGACGCCTCGCCAGCAGACTTCATATCGTAGATGAGCATGGCATAGCTGGAGCTGTTGCTGGGAGCTTCGTCAGTCTTCGCTTTGTCCCTGATCGCTTGGCAAGCGCTCCCTTTTAGCCGTTCTTGAACAAAGTCCGCCAGGCCCTCCGCAGGCTCCACCTCGAGCTTGACGATGGTGTCCAATGTGTTCCAGCATGTCGTGACATAGCTATCCACAATGGTTTTTTTTTGGCCCTGAAGCGTCTGCCATTCGCGGACCAGGTCGGAGGGTGGCTCATTCCCGTCCAAGTCAGCCTCGCGCTCGCTATCCTCGGCCTCCTCGCTGGGGCCAGCCGCCTGGGCAAGGGAATATCTATCCGGCTGCTGAGCCTCTTGGATAGCCTTCCGCACCGCCTCAATCTTGTCTGAAAAAGGCTGTGTCTCCAAAATGCCCTTCGCGTCCTTCCTCTGCCGCACGCCTGAGAAGATGGCCGGGTCCAGGTCCTGCGAGTACACAGCCACTTCGATGAGCTGAAGCATCATGTCCACGGGCTTGGCCAAGCCAGCTTTCCACTGCAGGTCCACCTGCCCGGCACATGTTTCGCTCCCTGCGGCCTACTAATCAAAAGGAAAAGAACGCATTTTTTCTGTGATTGCCCAGTTTTTCTTTCCAGTGCAAATGCCGTGGCCTTGCGGTGCTGGGGCGCATTGATATAGCCGCACTTCTCCCTGAAAGACTCCACGCAGCGGCATGTGTTGCGGATCACGGCTTTGTCATCATCTTTGAAGAGGCTGTCCAACAACTCCCCAGTCAAGTAAACAAGCACCTCCCGCTTGGCCACGAGCAGGTCTACCGTGCCTTTGCCGTCGCATCGCGACTGTTTGCCATCCAGGGCCCTGTCGGCAAACTTGTCCTCTGCGTAGTACCCAGCCTCCCAAAAGTCCTGTAAAATCTGAAAGCACCACTCCAGGTTCTCCTTTGACCCGCCCGCGCGCTTTGCGATTTTCTGCAGTTTGCACACCGAATCAAAGGGGTTCGCGGGACCGTAGTTCTCCATCTTCAACACGATGCTCTGGACCTGCGCCACATGACTATGACGCCACACGCGACTTGCGTTGCAGGCCTGTACTTGAAAATGACAAACAAATTATGTCCGGCGCGAGCCAGCCGCAACAGTTTAGGATAAAGCTCTGGGCTGATCTAAAAACTAAGGGCTTCATGACTGACTGCAGCCTTGGGGTTGGGCAACGCGTGCTTCAACACGTAGAGCGCGTCATCGACAAAGCGTGCCTTGACTGGTTCTGAATTTTTAGCGTACCTGACGGCGGCATAGTGCGCGACGACTTGCTCTTTGGTGAGGCTGGTTTTGGCGGCCATAAGGCCTTGGATGTCAAAGACTTTCTGTAGAGCGCTCATACGCATGCTGGCGAAATTCTGCGAGATGTTCTCCCTCAATTGCAGAGACGCAATGTGGCGCTCGTCCTCGTTATCAATCTTGTGGAAAACACAGGGGCAAGCTGCCAGCGCCTCTGCCCACTCGTGCAGCACATCCATGTCGCTGGTCTTTATGTCCCGCTGCACCGCCAGCAGCACCGCCATCACCATCTCGGGCGGGGACAAAATGCGAAGCTTCTTCTGCTCCACTGCGTGCTCTGCCTTGGCCACGTCGCCTGCCACCACATGAACTGGAGCATCTGCGGGAATCGAGCTCGGCTTTGTGAAGTACTGGCCGATGAGCCCCTGCACGCTATCTTCGTTGACCGGAACATGTGGCGAAGCCAGAATGAAATGATCCAGCCACATGAAGTTAACAGCACACTGGTACTTGGAGCCTGCGTTGAATGCTGCCGACATGGCCGACTTCTTCCATGGCTCCTGCGAGCTGCAGTGAGTTGGGCCCCGCCAAAAAAACATAATTTGAGGCTAGCGACATCCTTGATTTCACTGTATGGAAGAAAGTAAGCAGCTGGGTATTGCGACTGCCGCGTCGCACCGTTTAACCAAGAAATTAGCAAGCTCCTGTGTGGCATATTGGCTGCTTCCGATTTTGGGCGCATCTCGTGTTTCCAGGCCCTGGAAAACCTGGTGCTCTGTCATCTCTTTCATTGCCACCTGTATCTTGGTCAGCATGCTCTGGGTCGAAGGGCACACCTCCGTCCGCGGAGGGGCTTCCAAGGCGGCGGCCTTCCGTTTGGCTGGCATGTTGGACGCACGCGAAGAGGGCTTGTGCTAAGTAACCTTGTGAGCAAATAACCTCTCGGATGATAGAAAGTAAATCCAGCATGGGGCCCGTGAAGCAAGCAATGCTGCAACATAACCAGCAACGCAGCAAACTGTAAGTAACAACTTTCAACACGGCGTGCTATGCAACGGTGTCCCCGCAGACTGCCAGCTCCCACTCCAACTGCGTGATTCGACGTCGCTTTTTCTCATCTGCCATATAGCTCTGCCAGCATGAGCTCAGCCAAACAAACTTCTAGGGCGGGGCAAGCCACCGTGCCTTACTGTACAGTACTGGGGGGGGGCAATGCCACGGCGCCTCAGCTAACTACTCCCTGCCTTGCTGACTGGGGAAACACAGGTAGCAGCGGCGCCTGGGCAAGATGTCAGCAGCGCGGTTCTCCATGATTCCGCGGCAATACGGGCTGCCGTGGTAGTGCCTGCCGTCGCGCGCCACGTAGATCGTAGCGCCAACGTTCCCAGGGTCCTAAGCTCTGAAAAAGGAGCATGGACAAGCGATAGTGATATCATAGAAGCCCCTCACAATGAAAACGAAACCAAGGAATTTCCTGGTGGGGGGCGGGCGGGGCAAGCCACCGACCCCGCGAACCCACCCTTTGAACCGGGCGGGGCAGGCCACCAAGCCCGCAAGCGCATTCCCTGCGCAACGAACATTTCAGGGAGCAAGAGGTCAGAAACCTACCATTAAATAGTGTAGCGGATAGAGTGGCGATTGTCAGCTTACCAAACGTTCTGTCAAGAGACGGCAAGGTGACGTCCCGTGGGACGCTGTGCACCGAACCCTCAAGCTTTAATACCAACCACGTAGAAAGGTGTATACGGACGATGCCGTTATAGCCGAACCCGTGTAAACGTTGTAAGGAAGAAGGAATGATAGTTACGACAGTGGTCCTGACGAATGCAGCGCAAGCAGTTGTTTTGCTCTTAATGCCCGTCACGTATGTGCGCAGTCACACATCAGATCTTGAACCTCAATTGTGTCTTGAGCCAAATGGCGATCAATGGAACTTGGGAAGCAACACCAACAAGGACCTCAGAACAGCTACCCAATTTCGGCACGGGGCCTAGAGGGTTTTAACATCCCCCATTTGGGTCGCATTGTTCATCATGCGGTCCAAACACCACAAAACGTTCCACTGGCCACGGCTTCAACTACGAAATCGTGTCGTGCATTCTTTTACTTGCTATCACTACACCGTTCATTCGCTGTGAAACATGCCGGGTTCGATTGTACGAAAAGTGAAACATTCATCCTCCAATCGAAGCACACATCCATATGCAGGTGTATATAATACACTGTGGCCACTTCACTTGACCGCCAGTGAACATTCCAGCTGCCGCATTTGCGCATCGCGCAGCTGTCATCCATAAATGGGTTGGCCACAAATGTCCACCATGCGCGCCCGCTTGTGATCGGTCTGCATATCTCCGGCAAAGAAACATCGGTGAGTAATCAATGCAAATCATAGCCATTCCAGATACCACGGACAATGCATAAATAATGAAAAGATATCATCTATAAGGTAATAATTCCATCCATGAATATCCAGAGCGTCATAGTCGTCGGAATATGTAACCATGTACACATCCATTCATCTTGGACACATGAATATAAATCATGGCATAAGTCGTTCCACCGAAACAGTGTCGATGTGACGCAAGTAACAGATGGGGACTGGCCCACATCGTACCGCAATCATCATCTTCACGAAGCATACCTGTCCCCAATGGACAGCCTATGGGTACGTCGGCGGAACTCCTCGTCCAAGTTCTTCTGGGCTTCTCGTGCCCGGACACACTTCTTGTTGTAGTCCTCTGGCAACCAGTGCCCTTTCCGAAGGCACCAATCCAGCAGGGGTGTGTCGCATTTGTTCGGGTCGACGGCCGAGATGATGGCGCTCACGTTGACCGTGTAACCATGTTTGCCAAGGTTCAGGCCATCCCTCACGAATGATATATACTTACAGTTGAAAGCTAGTGCAAACATCTGAAAATAATATCACCCACCGGGTGCACTCGGTCCTTGACCAGGAGCTTCATTTCTTCCTTGGTGACATCGAGGATTCTTGCTGCAATCCACAGCTTGTAGAATGTGTATAGTCCCTCGCATTTGTTCACCATCATACGAATATATTCGTCACGCTCCTCAACCGATCGGAAGGCTCTTGTCCGAACATTCTCCGATTGAGAAATCTTCGTTATTGTTGATGGCAAAAGTATACCTTCCTGATCATGCTCAGTGATGTTGGGGTACCTCTTGAAATCATTGTGATAAGGGCAGCCCGGATTCCCTTCGAGTCCGGCATTCATCGTTCTCTCCTCACCACCTTCAAACATCCCCCACATCTTGGACAGCTGGAGTGCGATAAATCCTGCCATGTACTGAGCCTCACGCGGCTCGTCAAGGCAGATCGCCATCCGTTGGGAACTTATAATGTCCCGTGACGTCAGATCGGTGTCGCGGTAATGCCAACCGCCGTCTTCTTCTTCTGACGCATAGCCGGATGTATATCCTTGCGTGTCCATGTCGTCATCTTCTCCCGGAACTTCCTCCGCTTCGTCCTCATCCTCCTGTGCTGCCGCATCGTGGTTAGCTTCTTCCTGTGCACGCCTGGCATCTCCAGAGACGTTGGGGTTTTGGTTGTCCTCCTCGTCATCGGATTTGATGTGAATGTAGTATCTTCCGATGGAGATCAGTTGTGCCTCGCACTCCAGGCATAAGCAGAAGCAGGTGGGGATCGCGGTCGCACATGATGGACATATCCGGCACCTCAGTCCTTCCCATGTCTCGTCATTCAGGATGACGACTTTGCTGACTTCGTCCCGGACCTCGTTGACCTGTGCGTTGAACTCTTCCATCTTGTTGTTTCGATAGAGTTCGCAAGCACGATTAACCATGTCAACGATGTAGTGCAGATTATCGGCACCTGTCTCAGTCTCCGGCATCCTCTCGCTGATCTTTGCGACGTTCTGGAGGAACATCGCAGCCGACTCTTGGGAAGAGTTGACAAAGCCAGGGCAGATCTCGTTCTCCACACACTTCGAGTACGCCCTCTTGATGTCAGCGTACTCCAGGCGCTTCCCTCCGTTGCTTTTGCCAATCCAAATGGACTTGACCTCATAGAACGGGATCACGTCAAAGACCATGAAAGTCCCATTGGCCGCGACTCCAGCCCCATACCGCGCGAGGGTTGCACTGGGAATATAGATGATCGCAATCGGATCCCCTCTCCTCACGTTCCGTAGCGTTGTCTTCGTCGCCACGTTCATCTCATCCCATGGAGCAAATGCTCCGAAGTGCAGTGCTAGCCTGTTACCGCCATCGATTCCGCCGGGGACTAGCCCACAGCGTACGATGCTTGGCAGGTTTTCCACATACGTCACATGGAATGCTCCTCCGAGAGTATCACCCATTCTTGCGGAATACCTATTCGCCAGTGCGGATGAGCTCATGAATCCAAAATCACTGTGACCGGTTGTGACTCGGATGCACCAAGGTCTGTACCATCCATCGCATCTGTTGAACATCCTGTCGATGTCGTCCCGATCCACGCCAGCCTTGGTCATTTCCTCCCTGGCTGCCCTCGTGTCGTTCGGGTTCATGATGCTCGGAAACCTTGCTGCCAGAACCTGGAATCTCGATTTCTTGCTTCCGGATTCCTGCCACTTGATCACCTCCATGATGCCCATGTATCGTTTCGCTCTCGTGGTGTATGGTGGGAATATGTCGTTGTTCCGGTCGTCAATGACAGCATCAATGTCGACCCATCCACCCTCGTCGCACCTGAAAGCACTTCCTCGGCAATTGCCGATCTTGTGTCGAAGGACTCTGCATAGGTCGTGAGATAGCTGGTTTGCTTGGTCCCTTGTAGTAAATACCGAGCGATCATCACCAATCCTGCATAGTGGAGCACCGTCGAAAGGAGCAATGCAGAAGTTGACACTCTTGCCAAGTTGCATCACGTCCACTTGCTCAAGGATTGCACCTTTGGGAAAGTATTTGGGGTCAACGATGGACGCATACGCCCATGGCAAGTGCACATCACTCACATCGCCATACTTCGGGATGTAGCACGGGATGGTGTCGCATCCCATCTCAAGCGTCTTCTTGAATGTCCTGTTGACCCCGCACGGGTTGTAGGTGAGGTCGACGCCACCACATTGTAGCTCTCCTCCCTCAGCCGTGTCAGCCATCTCCACCAAATTAATAGTGTAGCTGTACATCTCAATTGTTTCTTTCCCTGCTTGTCCCCCTTTCTTTCTTTCCTTGGACGTTGATGAGGTCGGTTCCTCCGTATCCCCCATGTCTTCATCAGATGAAACAGGGTCACTGCTGAGTAGCTCACGGAGCACCTTCATCGCCTTCTCATTTCCAGCAGCCTCCTCAATGTCCTTGCAGTCGCCGTCGTGGGCCAGGTTTGCGCACTTCTTACAGATCCCCATATCTCCCATGCACTTCTCCATTGACTCCAGGAATCCTAGCGCCGCTCTCCGCCCATCGATCACTCGCTGCTTCTTATCTTCCTTCTCAGCATTGGGCTGAGAACTTCGACTCGGGTCTG